CTTGGGGCCCCTCTCAACCCCATAAGGACTCCCCAGGACCCCTTAGGGGCACCCCAGGACACTATAGGGGACACCCTGCACACCTTAAGGCTCCCCCCGACCTCCCCAAGCCCCAAGAACCCCGCCCAGCACCCCCAGGAGCCCCCAGAACCCTCTTGGGGACCCCATAAGTACCCCCTAGGACCACTTAAGGGCACCTTAGGACACCAGAGGGGACCCCCAACCTCCCCAAGGGTCCCCCCCGGGGGAGGGGGGGAGCCCCTTGGCAAGCCCTGGGGGGCCTAGCTGAGTCGGGGTGCGCAGGATCGGGGAGGTGGCGGGGTACACCCCTGAGGAGCTGCTCGGCTGCTCCCTCTATGAGTACGTCCATGCTCTCGACTCCGACACCCTCAGCAGGAGCGTGCACACCCGTGAGTGCCCCCCAACCCCCCCCGGCACCCCAAGATCCATCTGGGAACCCCAAGATCCTCTTGGGAACCCCAGGATTCCCCCTACACCCCAGTATCATCCTGGGAACCCCAATAACCCCCCATGAACCCCAACATCACTCCTGCACCCTGAGCACCCCTATGTCCTCCTGGGTCACCCCTGGGCACCCCAACATCCCCCCTGGGCACCCCTGAGCACCCCAATGTGCCCTTGGAGCACCCCTGGGCACCCCGACATCCCCCCTGGGTCACCCTAATATCCCCGTGTCACCCCTGGGCACCCCGACATCCCCCCTGGGTCACCCTAATATCCCCGTGTCACCCCTGGGCACCCTGACACCCCCTCTGGGCACCCCAGTGTTCCCCCTATCTCCCCTTGGGTACACCTGGGTCACTCCTGGGCACCCCGACATCCCCTCTGGGTACCCCAGTGTTCCCCCTATCTCCCCTGGGTACACCTGGGTCACCCTCGGGCACCCCAATATCCCCTCTGGGCACCCCAACATCCCCCCCAGCATCCCTGAACACCCCAATATCCCCCTGGGGCACTCCTGGACACTCTCCCCCCTGGCACCCTG